ATTTTTCCCAATTATATTGTGGTGGCAAGGTAATTACTGGCTGGATTATGTTAAGAATTTTAAATTTTTTTATGAGTGAAAGGTTACACATTAAAATGGCAGGGGAGTTGGCAATAAGCATAATTTCTAGAAGTCAGGGTTGATTATTAACATTATAATTTGTGTTTTTTTTTTCAGGCCTAATTTTATACTAAAGTGAACAGTGCAAACCACGAGCGACAGACAAAGACAGCCAGAAACAGCAGCAAAACATCACGCTATTGTGATCTTACTGAAACTGAATAAATTATAGTTCATTGACAAGGAATCTTTGAAATTAAAGCAACTGTCTCTCACTTTGGGGAATAACTTCACTTTCTTGCCAGTTATGTGTGGACTATTTCATAGAGGCACAGTAAAATCCTAGAGTCCTGTCACTGTGCCTGGCAAAGACATACATAAAAAGGCACATTTTTATGTTTAGATTTTGTATGGTTTTAACAGTTGACCTATAAGTTGTTAAGTTATGACTTTTAAAGGCACTGATAGGTGCATTTTGGTGCAATAAGCTCCCAGTAGACAGAACCAGGTTAGCTGTTTCCCCTGTTTCCAGTGTTTATGCTAAGCTAAGCTAACTGTCTGCTGGCTGTTGCTCTGTACTGATTGCACAGACATGAGAGTGGTATCAATGTTCTCACCTAACTCTTGACAAGAAAGCAAATAAGCTCCTTTGCCAAAATGTCAAACTGTTCTTTTAAACTGAGTCAAAATCGGCTAAATGTTTACATATCAAATATTAATCTTCTCACATGATCTCAGTAAGAAAACAAACAAGCATATATTCCCAAATGTCTGAATATTTCATTATTACTGGCAATAAAAGCATCTAGGGAATTTTAAAATATTAAAAGCTATATAATTAAAGCAAATGCTAGCTCTTTGACATCTCAGACGGTTGGGAGGGAAATGTATAGACTATTAGTGCCAGAATGCAGTTAAAACTGTAGGTGACAGTTCTTCATCAGCTCACTGGCCTTTTGTCATATTGCCAACATAAGTCACATCTGAACTAACTTCTAACAGGCACGACAGGCTGCAAGTTTCAGAAGAAGCTTGCTCTCGCTGAGCCTTCCACTCTAATGACGAACAGCCTCAGGCCAGGCTACAGGCTTGAGGTCCTATATCTGCCATCTCTCCTCACAAAGAAATCAGCAGCACCCATCTTAGACAGATAAACAGCGCTCAGGTCTGCTCGGATGAAGCTGACTCACTGGCTCAGTCTGTGGAAATGTCTGCTGTTCCTTGGCCACTCTTTTTCTCTGTTTTCTAATCTGCAAGAAATAGTGTTGCTGTGCAAAACTGTCAGAAAAGACCTTTCTCTTAGTTGAGGAGAAATGATTGTGAATCAGAAATGTCACAGTCTGTTCACACTTTCTCACTGACCATCAGGGAGTGTTGTTTTTGGCAGCAAACTGTCATGGCCTTGATACCTGACCTACAGACGCTCAATATCAGCTGTTTTAGTTTTCTGTCCTGCTATGTCTACATTGATCAGATTGTTCTCTCTCTGTGAATTACAACAACCTTGGCAATATGAATAATCACTATGGATTTTTTATACTATATTATATTAGGTTATGACACTGTTATCAATCACTTTTTCCCTCCCACTTTACACTAATTGCATATAATATGTCTCCTCTCACCAGATTTCAAAAAACTCATTCTTGCTCACTCTTGTTCATGGATCACTAAATGTTCTACTTGCCTGTTAAATGAGTTTCATTTTATTTTCTTACGATGGTGGACGAAGCAATACCTAGTCCCCTTAATTACTTGCGTGTCAGTAATGTGTGCAGCTGTTCTCTCAGACAGAAACAAGGAGGAGATCAGATTGATCTCTAATCCACACACTCAAGTGAAGCAATGAATGCAGAGTGATGTCTGCTGATAATGGTGTCTGTAGGATTGTTCATGGGATATTTTATAGATGATTTCTAATGCTTAGTACAGTGAATGCACTTACCAGATCTGGTGCACTGCTGATTTTAGCCACGCTGGCACCATGGCTTTACAGATGTCACTGTCTCAACAACTGACTGATATATTGCCATGAAAGCTTGTACAGATGTTAACTGACAAAGACAGAGGCTGTCACAGTGATGGCCTGACTCTACCTGTAGCAAATCCACAAGGTTGATAGTTTTAGTTTTAGCAAGATGTCATCACAAACGACACTAGTGGATCATTTTTCACACTCAGAATTCAGACATGCAGTTAAAATGGAAGACAGTAATGGTAAATGCCAGTATCCAAATACTGTATGCAGTGGGGATGAGTGTTAGCATAATATTAGGATTTAGTGCAAAGTGCCACTGTATGGTCACAAAGAGCCACTGGTATGGCTGTAAACTGCCTTTTTATATACCTTGAATGTATTTTTATTTTCCTTGAGTATGTGAGAGCTAGACAGAAAAGCATTCATAACATTCATTGTTTCTACAGCCTTGAACCACCTGATTTCACAGCTGGGGAATCCACAAGCTCCACATATACCCTAGAATATAAATGTTCTCATTTTTCTCCCTCTGAACTTCTTACTCTCTTTTTTGCCTCACTGTCATTCTCTTGTCTGTTTCCTCAACAGGGATACCTGTGTCCACTGAAGCGGCTTGTGTTGAGGAGCATGTTGTGACAGCCATGTCTCTGGAGATGGAGAAGACCATCACCAAGCTGATGTACGACTTCCAGAGGAACTCCACCTCTGATGATGACTCTGGATGCGCGTTGGAGGAATACGCCTGGGTTCCCCCCGGCCTCAGTCCCGAGCAGGTACACAGACTCGATAGTTATCTCTTTCCAGTCTCAGATATTCAGCTCACACATTTGGCATCCCTTTCATGCCATTCCTAAGTGTTTTATTACCTAATGCTTATTTTTCTTTACCACAGCCAGACTGTATCAAATTGAACTGAAATGGTCAAAAGAATTTAATTTAGACAATAGAGTATTTGTGGCATTTTCCAAATAATACTCGGGCAGTTTCAAAACAACACAATGAATCATATTGTTTTAAGTCTCCTTCATGGCGTTTTAATCTTTGGGTGAAGGAGGGGATTGGGGTGGAGGGTAGAAATGGGATACAAGTCACTGAGACTTGTATCTCACTGAGGCGTTTATGGAAGAATAATTGTAAGGACACATTTCAGCTGTCAGTATTAAAGCTGACACTGTGGGAATCAAGTTCTCAGTCAGACAGAAGGACAACCATAACCAAAATCAGGAATAGGAACCACAGACTGATTATCTGATTGCACTGTCTAAAGAATAGATGTGAAGCAATGAATGCGTGTTTGAATCACTGGTATATGAGTTCAAAATATGAGATTTTTAATTGGGGTTATGTTTATCCAGGAAGATGAAAAAAGCTATTTTCCTTGATCACCATAATATGTTTACTTATTTCTACCACATACTACATAATTGTGTGTGTACTGTCATTTTCAATTTAATGAAGCTTTTGGTATGCTAAGACATAGCCTGTTCTGTATTTTAGTTTATCCTTGCAAATTTAAACCCAGAGGAATGGAAGTAATTGGAGCCAGTAAATGTTTGGATGAACCTAATTGAAAATGTGTGGCAATGTGTTTATGCGTGCAGATTTCACAATTCCCTGTCTGGACTCATTTGCAGTTTAAATGCCTTTTGATTGCATGCATGACCAAGCTAATGTAATCAATTGTGCACATCCAGAAGAAGATATTTCCTCATCATTCCTTATTGTCGCCCATTGTTTTCATCAGCGCCGACATAAGATAAACACGGTTCTATTCAATATATTGGATACACGCACTTGCGTCTTTACTTAGTAGGAGCAGCACTCTAATGCAACAGGCCTCCTAGGGCTCTGTTACCAGATGACAGGCTGGGCTGATAACAGTCATTTTCTCCAGTCAGCCATCTTGACAGGACGCTGAAAGAAGCTGCAGCCTCTCTCATCCAGCAGGAGGTGCAGGCAATTGTAACTGCCTGTTGCCTTTTTAATGCACTTGAATGTAATGATTTTTGATCCTGTCACTTCTGGCTTCTCCCTCGCACAATGTCATCAATGTGACTCACATTTAAAAAGAAAATCACCATTTCAAGTGGCACAGTTCATTGAGCTGTCACAACTCAAAATCCCCAGTTCAGACTTCATTTGCTGTGACAATAAGGTTCATCAGTGTCAGGATTGACTTGTTGAAATACTTTATTCCTCAAATTTCCAAAAAAATGTTTCCAGCTGATGCCTCTAACTGAACTCTCTACTAGTGCTGACCATCTCTGACCCATTTTTGAGCAAATACTGTATCCATAATCAGTGGTGGAATGTACATTTGTTCAAGTGCTGAACTTAAGTACAAATCTGAGGTATTTGTACTTTACTTGAGTTGCTTACTTACAATGCCTTTAAACGGACCACAATGAACCAATCCCAGCCAGCATCGGGCGAAAGGCAGGGTACACCCTGGACAGGTCGCTGGTCCATTGCAGGGCCACATTTTTCACTGGAATAGAAATAATTAATCAATTGATACAATACTAAGCTCAAAAAACAGCAAGGTTATTAAGGAAGGTATTACATTTTTGCAGTCTGAGAGACAACAAAGGACGCATGCAGCATGACACTGAATATTCATTTTGCTTTCAAGCTCTTTTTAATGGGGCAGATTTTGGAGACAAGTCCTTCCCCTCACATGAGCCTGATATGCACAACTGGCACAAGGCTCAGTGTCACCCTTCACAACATAGAATAAAATAAGTGGGTGGGTTAGAGAGGACCTGAAGGGGCAGTGCTCAGAAATGTACTTCCTTCCCCTCTCGCTCACTACTGATTATGTAAATTGGATCACAGCAACTTCAGCATAATAGATTTTTACACTGCAGTGAACACTAGGCCACTTTGTGTAAAATGCTGTTTTGCTGAAAGTCAGAGACAAGGGACAAGATTGCTTTTGTCCTTTTGAGTGTTTCTCAAACACCAATCAAGGTTTTCTCTATTTCACCCACTAATATGTAAATTCAAACAATGGTCCAGGCCACGGATATCAAGTCCTACTCCAACATGAGCTCTAATTGCAGTACCAGAATGGGTAACTGAGACTTCCTTTAAGCAATGTGAATATTACCTGCTGAAAATTTAAAGAACTTGATGCTGTTCTAGGTTGTCTCTGCAGCAGCAGCAGCAGCAGCAACAGCAGCAGCACAGAACTCATGCTGCTGCACACTGTCAGGTCCAAAGACTGATTCTCAAGGGCAATAATGGTGGAGGACACGAAGGTCGCGATAAATTAATTTGAAAGCAAATTCAGATTTATTTAAATGGGTTTGTCTCCATGAATTAATGAAACAAAGTAGGTGATGTAAACTAGCATGCTCTTAACTCAGCATAATGAACATATACAGCCAGTAATACCACTTTGTAATTATACATAAATTATGCTTTAATCAGTTTTTATATTAGCAATGATTACTAGTAGGGTGCCACTTGTTGTGATGAACTCACAGAGTGCCGCCCAGCTCCTCACACCACAGCTCCAAGGAGTTTTTGATTGTCTTTCATTTTATTATAGTTTATTTATTTGTTTGACCCACAAGTTTACAGTTTGTTTACTTCGGTTCTCATCAGCTTCATTACCTGCTAAAAAGTTCTGAAAAACTCAGTGTATGCAGTCTGCCCTGCACCAAAAACTGGAAATAGACATTAGCGACTGTGAACAATAATGAAACATAACTAAAGATATTTATCCCGGGATTAGTAAACACTAAGGAGAATGGATACTAGACCTACATTCATGAGGCAGATAGAAACAAAACAAAAGTTAGTTTTGCATTGATTTGATGTGGTGTGTTTCAGGTGCATCAATACTATAACTCCTTACCAGAAGAGAAGGTCCCCTATATAAACAGCCCTGGAGAGAAGTATCGCATCAAGCAGCTCCTTCATCAGTTACCACCACATGACAACGAGGTACGCAGTTTTTTACAGCACAGCCAATTCATCATTTATACAGTTTATCACTTTTATTGTGATTTCCGGTCATTAGTTCTACTTTGCATGATGATGAAAAATGTTTTCCAGGTGCGTTATTGTAATGCACTGGATGAAGAGGAGAAACGAGAGCTGAAGCTCTTCAGCAACCAACGGAAGAAAGACAATTTGGGCAGAGGCAACGTCCGTCCTTTCCCACTCACCATAAATGGAGCCCTCTGTGACAAGGTAAACCGCACAACAAGCCTGCGTCCTTTTGCCCTGTGGCTCTTCTTTACAGCAAAGACAATAACAGCCAACCAAACAACCTTTAAGGCTTCTTTCTATCTAAAGATAGACATTTATTTTTTAATTTTCTACATGTATAATTTAGCCCATTTATAAAATATGCTCTTGGTTTTGCTTGCCAGGACTTCTTTTTATGTTCCATCAGACAGATAGAAACACATGTGAAATAGGAAACATTTAAATATTAGTTATTTGATACAGTTCCTTTCCTTTCATTTAATTTCCTTTTCCTTCAGTTTTTCACTTTTTCTTTCCTTTTCTCTCCTGTTTCCTTCCCTTTGTTTCCAATTTCTCCTCTCCTCTACTACAGTGTGGTGGTCAGATTAACGGAGGGGACATTGTGGTTTTTGCAGCAAGGGCAGGTCATGGAAAATGCTGGCACCCTCACTGCTTTGTCTGCAGCATGTGTGAGGAGTTGTTGGTGGATCTCATCTACTTCTACCAGGATGGCAAAATCTACTGTGGACGGCACCACGCTGAGAGGCTGAAACCCCGTTGCTGTGCCTGTGATGAGGTGCGCCTGTCTGGGCCTGGAGCCTGTCAGGGTTAGAAATGGCTGAATGGGATATACTGTAGCTCAGATACTTGGATGTGGTTGAAACTGGTCTGCAGAGAAAAGATGTCAAAGTATCCTTGCCATGTCTCAGAAAAACAGTTTGTGTTCTAGCCATACTGTGTGGCATGTAGGCCTCAAATAATAATAACAACTTTGGCCAAAGTGCTTTGCACTAATTGAAGTCTGGTGTTTACTTAAAGTTGAGCAGCATGTAGCAGTTCAGGTGTCCATTTTTATTTAACTGGGGGTCCAGTTGTTTATTTGGTACAGCTGCATCAGTTCCCTAGTACAACTGATATGACAAGCTTATCTAGGATGATACAAACATTTCTGCCAGCTGGTGACATAGTGATTTTTTATGGAAAAAAAAAAAATTTACAAATAAAAATATAGAAATAATACAAAAATAATGATGCGCC